TTTAGATTTTAGTAAACTTAAATAAAACAATTCTTGCGGTTTAGAACGCAAAACCTTAATGCTAAGTAATATCTTCTTTTGGAAATAATCCATACATTGATATAGATATCCGTTTTATAAAATTAAACTCGTTGACCTCCTTCATGATGAGCGCCGAATTACTTTTAAATATTGTTGAATTTGGGTCATTGGCGTCTTGGAGTTGCTGTAACGATGATATAATAATATATCGCTACGATTTTTTATAGTTATTCACTACTTTATTTATGTAGTTTCTAAGGGTTTTCAGAGATGAGTCTTGGTAAAGTACTACATTGTAGAGGTCCTTTACTTCTTTCGATTAATAATTACTCACATCTACTAATAATAAAAGATTTTTTACAGTTTAAAACGTGGTCACGGGGGGAACTGTAAATGGACGTTATGTCAAAGTCAACACTGTTTTATTGTACATAGTTGGAGTAACTGGCTAGGACAATAATGGTGATAAGTTAATGTTAGTTAATTTCGCGTTTTAAACCGTTTAAAGTGTTTTATCGAAACACGCCAGTTTACTTCCGGGTAAGATTCATAGTTCAATGCCTCGGCAGATTTGCGTCTCAAAGCGCGACCTTCACGATATTTGGCACATGCCGTCATTATGCGCCGGTAATGGCTTAAAATGTGCGAAATTATTATTCACGACTGTAGTCTAAGAATACTACCACTTTGATAAACTAAATCGTTATATTGTACACTAGACCATGTTCTGAAATCGTCCCCCCTCCTTTTGCATCCGCCGCGGTGAGCCGAGCCGAATTTCCAATTTGCATAGCTATCATCTTATTTACTCAGACGTGAATAAATTATTTTTTATTGCACCGCTGCAGCAGTCGCTGTCGATCATTGGTTTGACATTCAAACCGTCTAGCTAACTCATTGCATCGGGCGCGACTCGCGCGCGAAAAGCCACTCTATGTTTTGGGCGCTTGCGGCCAAAATCCGTCGTCTCGTGGGGATCGAATTCGGCAGTGACGTGACGATTTCGGTTTATTACACATTTCGTGTCCGAGGGCAAGGGTACACTGGTTTCATTTGCGCTGCAGTTCTGCGAAAAGTTTGCGGTCGAATCTATCGTTCCTCCATTACTTTCAATATAAATCTCTAGCGGGTCTAATCGCACGTATTGTGTTCTTGTCTTAGATTGCCGGCGACCGCAAAAGGCGGCGTGTGTGGGTATGAAACGACTTTTTTAGATTTATTGCAAATGGGAATGGATTTTCATAGATCTATATACTACATAACAGTATTATAGTCTATATAATACATAACAGTATTATATATATATTGGTGCCGCCGCAGCGGCGGCACCAATATATATTGTACTTCCCGAGATTGTTTTGAATTTTTATAGTGTTTAAGGATTGTTATTTAATGAATAGGGGTTGGTGATAGAAGGCCATACAATGAAAAATATTAGAGGAGGGGAAGATGACCGATAACAATTATCGCTTGGGGGGTGTAAAAACAGATTGAAGCCGATTCGCACACCAACTAAATAATCATCGATGGAGGAGGACGGTAACTAAGACTGGGACACGAGAATTGTATATATGAAATTATTGTCCCTCTACACCTACTCTACACGGAGACGGATGAAGTAGCTTTTTATCTAACAACATATTTAATTTTATTAGTTACTTGCGGTTTGCACTTTCGATAGTCGAGTGGGCTGTAATTATTTTACATTGGAAGCTTGACTTTGCTTCGTGGCGTGGCCGCTTTCCCAATTAAGTGACGTCGGGTCGATTGGTCCCGATAGAAATTTGTCCCTTAAATTAATTGGTGATCCCAAATTTATTGCATCAATCGAGCTCCGAGGCCCGGCGCGTTTAAGATATATATAGACTTAGATCGCCCATATTGTGTTAAGTATAGGTACGATGCAAAGGAAACTCAAGCTTCACGAACATTATTAAATTTAGATGTTTACGAACGTATTCACGCCAATCTTCGGGACTTTATGAAGCTTTAGGCTCAGTTTTCCCCGAATAGGCCCGAATAATGAACAATATCGAAGCCAAAAACATCTGCTTTGAAGTCCAAGATTTCAATGAAACTTGCTAATTTGGTAACACTGGAAACAGAAAGCCGTACAGTCACAGTTTACAGTAATTCAATTCGATATATTTGCGTACAATAATCGCGGAAATCGCTTTTGTTATTGGAATAAGTTTAGTTTGGAAACGGCGAGTTCTAAGAAATAAAACGCCTTGTCCTTTCGATACAAACGTATCTTTTGTACAGGTATCGAGTTGTAAAGAACGAGGAAGTGAAATAAATGTGATGGATAACAAGCCCAATGACTTCGCGTGGGCGACGGAGCCCTGAAACAACACGAGACGACACGGCGAACATTAAAGCAAAGTAAAAACAAACTACGTGTCCCGTCTTTAAAACTATTACCCGCCTTTGAACCGAACGCGTTAATATCAAACCGAAATTCTTAATAATTGTGTTTCCATATATAATACATTTGTTCAGTCGAATTAGTATCATACCTCAAATGGGGAAATGGTTATACTAATGTTTGTAAAAATTTTTTAACCCCAAAAAAGGTTAAAAATTTTTTTAAAAATTAAAGGGGGCCCGGTTTTTTTAAATTTTTTTCTTAATAAATAAAAGGAAGCATTCGACACAATATTATCTATGTACGTTTCTACCTATAATATCACTAAAAATAATTCGTACAAAATTATTTCCGTTAACAATACTTAAGTATTCACTTGCTTACAATCAATATTTCCCAGAAATATCGACCACTCTTCTCCAAAATAAACGCGGCCGTATAATAACACGACAAATAGCCGTTTATCACTTTTTTCAATTTTCTTCACGACGAAGCTTTCAATGTAATAGCTTTTACATTCCGTAAACATTAAGATACGAGGCAATATTCTCAATAAACCTCGTTTATGATGTCTGTATCCAATATAAGGCGAGTTACAAACTATTCGTTTCTTGTACTTGTTGTCAACCGGCGAATACAATTATAATATTATTTACCTTCGTTACTATCTCGCCCTTCCGAGGCCGGTTTTAAGTCACTAGGACTAGTTCTGCCAGATGCGCCCGAGAAACTAGTCGCAAGGAACTAGACGAAGTTCTTAATATCATGCTTTTGAGATAATAGCGTTTATCAAAATAGCACACGCTTTTTACGCGCGTTCGAGCGAACAGGTTTAAACCCCTCGATCATATAGGAAATAAAAACAGTCGCCCGACGAACAACTGATGCTGCATGGCCGTGAACTTGCCCCACTTTCTCACGACTCAATGCAGGGCAGGACAAAGGAATTACGTGTAATATGCAAAACGACATCGTTTATTGCGAGCACAAAGCCCGCTAAATATTGGGTAATGCGTGTTCCGTCCACCTCGCCGTTTTAGAGATCGCCCGTTGACGATCGAAAGCCGTTTAGATTAGAGATTTTCGTGTATTTAAGAGACAATATTAAATACTGTTACAACTTCGGTCACAACACTTGGGATTAGATAAAACACCTTTGACGGTTTAAAATGCGAAATATATTAGCTAACTGATTACAACTACGACACGACGTTTCTGACCCTGCAAACCATTTTAATCTATTAATTGTGTTTGATTTAATGCACTACTCGCGTAAAGGCAAAATATATATTTTCTGTACAGAACAAATAATGCGTTGAGTCTTTGTAAGCTTCACTTTAAGTAAACCTCAAGACTTTGAAAATGATTTAACTTCGGCCCGACGTTTTTGTTTTTTTTTCCCCCCCCGGGGGTCGGGGGGGGTTTTTTTTTTTTTTAAAAAAAAAAAAACCCGAAGATTCATTTATTTAGTTCTTTAGAAAACGCCATACTTATTGTATGCCGTATCGACGTTTACTTCTCTTTGTTGGACGATTAAGGCTATTTATAGATCACGTTTTCTATATTCTATCGCTTAACTCTAACTGTCTTATGTCATGCTCTAAGTACACTTAATTCAAGTTATGCGTATGCGTACGGAACCCTCTACAGATGGATCCATCACTGTTTAGCGGTTTTATTTTCGAAGGGTCGAGTACTACACCTTGTTATATCATAATACGCAACCACCGAGTACTTTCTACGTAATAAGTTTGGAATTCTTATTATTTCCTGGTGTTTTCTTTACTTCGCATTCAGCTCTACCCGGAAACATAATACCTGCGATATTCTGCACAAGTTTGTATGTTATAATACTAGTATTTTCATATTATATTTATAGTTCTATGGTTTATAAAAGCTTCTATAAAATGAACTTTGCTAATTTAATTTAAAAAAAGATATTTCTATATTTCATCTTAATGTTTAAAAATTACTAACTAGCTAATTGAATTGTAGTAAATAAAAAACATTTTATTTTGGTCGGCTATATCGGTTGTACCTTATCGATTACCACAAAATAAATTCATATATAGACAAATACAGAAATAGACTATTACTTATTGAATCTTATATGACTTACCTTAATTATTTTTGAAAGTCAAAGAAATACATCGACTTAAGGTAATCGCTTGACCTAGTTTATATAGGCGAACATCCCTCGGTGCTTCGTGAAAAGGATCATAATACATCGAAAACACAGTCTCGTATGCATTACAGTACAGTCTGCGCAGACCACTGCGGTCTGCGATGCTCCGAAGTGGCCCGGTTAAAAATCCATTAATTTTAGACGATAACCTCGTTACCCCGAACGCATAACACAAAGCAGATTCAAGAACAGATCAGGAAAACATCTCACCGTTCGCGCTTCGTTGCCGACAGTACTTTTAGGGCGAAAATAGTATCCGGAGGTGGGCCACAATAAACATTGCAGTCCATTGAGACAATGCAGGCTCTAAGCGACGTGGATGCACCGAGATCGCGATGCGCGCGGGAATTACGCGTTTCGGAAACTGGGATTGTTTTGATAGAATTGATTTAGGGAAGAGTTGTGTGCAATGGAAATGCGGTAACGTCAGGGGTACGGAGCGTGCGCACTGGGCACGCCGCGCACCTCCGCCATCGCCGCCAGGCGGCGCTGCACGCCGGTATTGATAAAAGCGCAAAGGGCGGCCAAGGGATGCGACTCGTTCGCCACGACCAACCTTGAACTCGCCTATCGGGTATTAGGTAATCCCATGACAAGTATTACGCTTAGGTACGAGTAACGAATGTTGTATGGCTGAAAACGAACGAAGCAACTAGGTTATTGTCTGTTGTTTAGGCGAGTAACACACAATTAACAACAACATTTTTAACAGTTTAAAACGCGGAATATATTAGTTAACTGATTTACAAATTTTTTGCACCGTATTTGAATTTGATATTAGGGACACTCTCCATCTTCAATCCACCCGGAACTGCAGAAACGCCAGGCCGTAGTTAAAATAAATTGTAAATGAGTTAACAAATACATTTCTTGTTTATAACCGTTAAAGGATGTTTTACTTAATTAGGTTTCTTATTTCAAAAACTACTAGTCAGTTTTAAATATGTATTAAACATCGTGCCGCGTCAAAAGAGATCGCAACCTTAATGAGTTAAAAGAGGAAAAATGCCCCGGCGAGCTTAGAGAGATTAACAAGAAGAGAATAAGAGAGATTACGTATCGTAACATATCTTGGTCCTCTCTAAGGGGTTGATGTTTTAAGTTGACTCACATTATATGATTAACCGAATTTCATGATTATTATTATATAGTCATTGATAAAACGTGACGAATTCGTGCCGGCTCCTCACTGTACCATACAGAATTTCCTTTCAAGTACGTTAGTTAGCAAGTTTCAAACGCTTTCATCTCAACATCGCGATTGATGTTGAGCACAAGTTTAATTGATTGTGGATACAGATACTTGTACTACTTCTTTCACCTTACACTTAATTGTAAACTCTGTTTCTCCCCGGTGTTATTCCGTTATTGTTTCTATATGTCAATAATTCAGATACGCGTATACCGGCGATGTTATTATTGAAAAATTAGGAGACTGATGATCGAAATAAGGTAACAACAAAAGACAAGTACATCGGTCGGTTTAAGCTTGATAAGGATGACGATATGGTCGATGATGAATAGTTAAAGATGCTAAACAATGACATATGAGTATTCATCTCGTTGTGACTTTGATTAATATCGAGTCGCCAATTTAAGGCAAGCGTCGCTTTGTTTCATACACTTCTAATGAGATCTTATAACAATCCAAATGTTCCTTCATTAATCAACTTTTGAGGTAGAAGACAAAAGATTGCAGACCTTGAGCTCAATGTGAGCTAACTCGAAACAAATACCTAACTTCTAGGGGTCCGAGGAAAGGGAATCACGTTTTAATATTATTCATGTTTTGTTTTTTATAATAGTCGAGATTTATAATAATTATGCCATTTTTCAATTTACCCTTTTTACCATAACTTAATTTATTTATTTATTTAGTTAATAACATAAGATTTATTTCTTATTGTATTTTGTTGATTGTTAAAGCTATCAAGCGTCAAATAAGATGTTAGTTAATTTATTAAAATGTAATGATTTCTCTGATTGAACATATTAAAAGGGTTAAAACAATTTTACAAATAATTTTGTTCATACTAAAAAATCTAAAGGTCCACAAAAAAAAAAAATTATTGATAATTTTAGAATAATCTATATTTATTATTAATTTAAAGATATTAAACCGAGGACTTACATACAACGTTTATTAATTGTTTCATTTGAGTGGAGTAAAAAAAAATCGTTCACTTGTCGCGAGAACATTGTAGCAGTCAAAAGTATAATTTTATGATTTCATATGAAACGCGCGTCTCTACTATTGTACATTACAATGTTTCAATCGGTTTTTTACCTGTTTCTGCACAAAAGGACGTCTATCTTCGAGATTAACTGGCTGTGAATCATTCACACATGTAAAAACAACGGACACGCCTCGGCACATACGGAATATCAATAGTTTATTTCCAATGCTAACTGCGTGGCAAATCCCCATAGGTGAAAACGCAGGGGATTATCGTCGCTTTCTTGAGCCACTCATTCCATTCGCTATTTTTAGTCTGTAATTTATTGTTAAGCGCGCGTAATTATGTATCTGTGGTTTTGAGGCCAATCAATGCCCTGTATTCCACAGATAAAATGAATAGTGTATCTGTATATTTTTTTGCACACTTGGCGACTCCATTAAGTAACTGAATGCATTCCAGAAAAAATAATGCTGCGCAAAAACAACAATTGATAAACTTAACATTTTCTAGATTTTTTTACACTAAATTTACACACAAAAGTCAGTACATTATGATATTATGATTTTTAAACTAAAAATACAAATCACTACAACAATACAAATGTTAATCAAAAATATTCAATTGTCTTACATTCTAAAAACTTGATTTCTAAAACTGATTTCACTATCAAAAAACTCTAGAAATCTACAAAAAATGCAACTAAAATACATACATTAAACTTAACTTAATTCGGTTTTTGTTTTGTGTGTTTTTTATGTAATCTATCTACGGGCCTTTCTTCTCGGCCAATTTTATTTGTAATTTTTTTGCAGTGTATTTTAAAGTGTCAGTGTGGTTAAGTATTTTATGTAGATTAACCTTCCATCGGTATCCCTAAAACAAAATCTTAAGGCTTGTAGGGTCGGGTCGCTGACCTCATAATTTTCCGTAACTAATTATGAGACAGCGGATCACTCATTATGATCACGTATCGAGTTTGATAACCTTTTAATTGCCAATTAAAATAGCTACAGTTTTTGTCAAAGGCAACACCTCAATGGAACGGGTTTGAAGGCCAATTTCACAATTATATATGTGATGTTATTTGTCGTACGGCCGCGTCCAGCACGCGGACGCATACTTGATTATGTTAAGCGCTGGACCCGCATCTCAATTGCCCGAGACACCTCCAGACGGTACCTCATTGCGGCGACTAGTTTCCAAAGGTCCAATGTACATTGATTCGAATCAATCCGCTAACAATAACTATACGAGTTCGATAATAAAGCTTCAATATAAATATACTACAAACAATTTAAACGCGAAATATATTAACACAGACATTTTAATATGTCTTCAATATGGTTTGTAATCAAAAGGAAATCGACATTCCATACCTAATCCTCGTTTTAATCCGTTAAGTGCTTTAATCAATGTGCACCACTTGCGTAAGCTACACAATGAGAACTAGACATATTTTCTTTTTCTCAATTTTTATAGTTCGTATGAAATTTAAATGTATAAATATTTCCAGCCTATAATTCTTTGCGTATATGTATATTATATTTTTATTTGACCGTATCTTCATACTAAAATTAGTTCCAGTGAAGCCGCGAACGATTAATAAATCTTCAAGACTTCTAAACCGGGAGACCACATTGACCCATATTGAAATAAAGGATGTCGTGTTCAAAGTCAAGGACGATCGCTGATTTGAATCGTTTTTGTGAGTTACACAAAGCGTCGAGCGGTACCGTATAGCTATGCTCATTCGATACCTACCTTAGAGAATTACTTAGTTAAATTCAGTCCCATACGTCCGGAAATTTAAAATTGTAATACGTCTTCGAGAACGGAACGAGTTTGTTCTCGAACGAATTATTGTTAGTACATCGAGGTTTACGTAAACCTTATTGCATGAAAACCGAATCTACTCATTCTACTCGGTAGAGTAGAAAACTACTGTAACTATGTATGGCAGGCGCTTTGTCTCCATTTAGTATGGGCCATAATTATTAGTTATAGCAGTGAATGGAAAGCCACAGCTTGTTAAGCGCGATATCTTCAAAAACGATTAAAACAGCAAGAATGACCTGGTTCTGCGCCAGGGGCTCTGCCGATGTCTGAAGCGTACTCCACTCGAGCCCCCTTCAGACTGCATTATCATGACGTCGACGATTTCTACCCGAAGTCGAAATATTTTTAAATCTCTATGAGCTTCACTGCTCAACGATTTCGTAAATGTGAGTAGCCTAAAGTACCTAAATTAGGTAGTGTTAGATGAATAAATGTCATTAACTACAATATAGCTTCTTACATTTAATTGTTTTGTCAAAAGAGGTCGTCACAGCATTTTCTCATTTAACAGCCAACTTTAATTCAGTCGGTAGTTTCAAAGCGATTTTTTAAAACTTTTGTACGACAACTAGGTAACGCATACTTGCCTTAACAGGACAATTTAACGAGTAATTCTAGCCTCCATCTTAATTTTTTTTTTCTAATAAGACATTATATTTGAAAGTTTCATTATAACAGTCACCAATATGATTATATACGTTAACAAAAAGTCCACCAATGTTTTAGAGCTGCACTAATTTATACCCAAAATATTAGTCTTCAATAACCTAAATTATAATAAACCTTTTTTAAATAGTCCCCTCCAAAACACATCAATGCTTTATAAAATTCCAGACAAGATATGAATTTACGAAAACAAAAAAAGCATTGTAAAACGAAAAAGCAATACAAATTTTGCAAAAATTGCAACATGAAGGGTATTCTCACCACTTAAAGCGTAACCGAGGGGTAAATTCACATAAATATATCAAGCCCCTGTGGCCTAATGGATAAGGCATCGGCCTCCTAAGCCGGGGATTGTGGGTTCGAGTCCCACCAGGGGTAAATTAACAAATATTTTTTTATTTTTTAAGTTTTATGTTTAAGAGCTCGTTATTTTGTTAAACCATAAGATTTAAAATTAAAACTATTGTTGATATACAAATTGCCTTTTTGAAAAGATATTAACTTAAGTTACTTTAGAATGTTATCTCCTTTTTTTGCATAAGTTATAAACGATAATAAGTGAAATGCGTATTTTATGGAATTCTGCATTTCTCTTTGTAATATTTTATAATTTATAAACAAATAAAAGACTTCACAGTAGTATCGTACAAATAATTGCTTAAAAATACAAGCTATACACCAAACGAAGGTCCTGAAAATGTATAAAGTTAGGCGTTCAATAATTCTACGACTTCAGACAGTAAAGTTTAATGGCCGACGTGCGCATAAATGCACCTTCACTTGTGCGTAACGCGTTTGTGTGCGTGCGTCTGCGACCTTGAAAAGGGTCGGACGTCTGAAAGCCTGAAGCTGAAAATGCGCCGGCTCCCACCATCCCCACCCCCCGGGAGTCATCCTTTAGTCGATATTTTACCACGTTATCTGATCTTTATGTTTTTAATACTTGCCGCGTATCACGCATGTGTGACTACACAATTGGTTGCTGGGAGGGGCAGCAAACTAAGTTAATTAATCACAAATTAGAGTTAATATTTGGTGAAAAATTGAATCTTTACCAATGAAGTGGTAGAGCGATAAATAATGTAGGCACGATTAATTAGCTTAGTCAAACTTTGATATTACATACGCCAAATTACGACGGCCACTCCAGAATGACTTTTAATCAGTTTGAACCCATTTTAGGGTACAAAGGTCACCAGGAAAAGGAGCGATTCCATTGAGACGTTAGACGACGCGGGTGAATAAATTTCGTACACGTGCCAAATATGTCGGGTCCAGTGGCTTTTACACGTTATACTGATTTCTTTGACGGGACGTGCAAAATGTTGAAAGATTTTATGTTATATGAAAACCCTCGAGGGCTGAGGCCTTTAAAACTATATGACCACACTAAAGAGACAGACCTTCCCCAGCCATATCACATTACAAAAATATGCGCTGTCGGCCTATTTTGTCTATGGATATTCGGCAATCTAAATATCGAAACCGAAGCGTGACATTTCACGGCTGTTTCATCTGTGGGTTATGTATTTGTGGACGGTGGTTCGTGACCCGTACGAAGTTTCGATATTTAATTGATACCTTCATTTAGTATCCAGTTTTCACGAACTACCGTCCACAGATATTTTTGTTTGGTTTAAACATCGCCAAAACGAATATTACCGTACCGCTAACTGCACATTTTGCATTAGAACAGTTCGACCCATTTCGTTAAAAATGTAAACAATGTAACGACTTTATTTAAGAAATGTGAACATGGACGTTTTAACTTTCTGTAATTCTATAGATTTTCTACAAACCTCGTTAGCTATGCTATGAAAAAGCTAATAAAATAAGGGTCGTATTACAATGGACGATATGCATAGCTGTGTAGGTATTAGTCCGTCTGTCACCTCGGCCGGGGCAGCGGTGTGGGGTGGGCCGTAACAGTGAGGCCTACCTATCCTCGCCCTACATCAAAGTCATCGGCGTTCAATGGCCGCGCCTAAAGGTTGCTAGCATTTTATCATATAACATTACGTGCCTTATGTTGTTTAGTCTAAGCCTTTCATTGAATGTCATTCAAAGTCCTAATAAGTACCTATAAATAATAAAATCTAAGATATAGATAAAAGTCTGACCTATATAGCTTTCTGCCATCAATTAACTGGTAAGAGCTTAGTTAGTTAGTAATTAAGATATGTATGTTGTCTCAAACTATAGTCGTAAGTTTAAAGTAATATTCGTTGTAAGATCTTAGTAAGGTATGGAAAGAAAAACAATAAATCATACATCTTAGCGCTAATAAGCGTTTTACTTTATTGCATGGCAAAGTGTTCTTTTTTTAATATTATATGTTTTCTATAATAGCATAATAAGTTGTCAGTCTTACTTTTAGTTTCTTTTATATATTCATTTTACTACAGCAAATCCTTTTTTTAAATAAAATGCTTTAAACTTCAAAAAATTTTTTATTAACAACGCCATCTAGATTAAAAGACTGTTACTAAATATAACGACACATAGTGACATCTAGCATATTTTGACTTTTGGTAGCAAATTAAAATAGATGGCGTATCCCGTACTAGATGGCGCTGATACAACTATGTAGTGAAATTTTTTATTTGAAAGCATATATTATTACAACAAAAAGCTTTAAATTCGAAATAATCGCAGTTTTTGAATAAATTGTCTGCAAATAAGTGACATGAGTATA